ACGCAACGAGTATCTTGAATACGAGGCTTACCGGATAAGACGAAGGAATATCGCGCATTCCTAAGAGAAAAGCCAGCGTGATTTCTTTTGTATTTTCCTATTCCGCTCATTTAAAGGGGGTAATTGTGATGATCCATTAACACCCTGGCCGTCAACAAGAAACAAAGAAGTAATACTCAAGGGATTGATATAACAAAGAACAAAAGGAAAACACTAGTGATTAAACAAAGGCATTTATTTATGAAGTGCTAGATTCCTTGAGGCTTGCTTCTTTTCGCTCCATGAGAAAGAATGCTTATTCTTTGAAAAAAAGACAAAATTCTCGAGGGAACGACGTGACTTAAACACAAAACACCGTGAATAATTAAACTCAAAAAACTAAATATATTTTCAAAGTGCTAAACTCTTCCACGGGTTTCCATCATATTCACCCAAAAGTGACGTCATATATTTCATTATTTTGGGCGCTGTTTATTTTAGTCACGTGTTATTCCCTCGAGAAGAAGTTTGATTCTACTTTTGAAAGCAATTATTCAAACTGAAATTTTCCGCATAACTGATCAAAGAAACGCTCCGTGTTGTTTTTTTCCAAGAAGTGAACTCAAAATGGCCGCGCGAAGTGGCGAAGAAACAAGAGATGATGAAGTTTAAAGCCTTGACAAACGGGCAAACTTTTGACCCAACATTTAGCCAACATTTTTAGCAATGATTTTGATCCAACATTTTGACCTAAGCATGACAAGCGATCCCATATAATGTTGGCTAAATTTTTGGTTAAATGTTTGGACCGTTGGTCACGGCTTTTACTCCAAGAAGTGAACTCAAAACACTAGGCGCGCGCCAAGTGGCAAAGCAAGAAGAATCAATAATATAGGGTTTATAAAGTTAAAAGTGTAATAAAAAAAGTTAACGCTGCATGCATCTTGAAATCTTTTGTTTGTTCATTGTTGTTTACGTCTGGGTGTATTTTGTTCTTGGTCAGGTGTGTCAATAATAAAGTGATTTTCAACTGTTGTTTTATTTTTCTCGTTTTCTGTTTTGATGGGTGTCCAAGAATAAAGGTACAAAGAGAACACATCAGACAATAAAGGTTCAATGGTCTTTTATTATAAACCGCTTCATTGAATAGATAATAAAAGGAAATGAAATTAACTTAACCCTACCAATTTATTTTTTCCAAGATCAAAAAATTGAAAAACTGACCYAAAAAATGAAAAATATTGGGTCACGTGACTTGTCACGTGACTAATTAGCATATTTTTATTTTTTGCTTAAAACAGGCATTTTCCCAGGGTTTTACCCTCCGTAGAGTGCTAAAACAGCCTTCTCTACTTATTTYTTACGTGTTCGGCAAAAAATAATGACCAAAAACCGTTTAATTTTCGTTATTTTCTCGCCAAAAAGTCCGGTTTTTGCGGGATCCCTGTGTAAAATGCTAGTATCCAGTCCCTGTGCATGTCACCTCTTCATTTGTTGCACGCTGCTGTTCGTTGTGGATGTGTTTCAACGGGTGCAAAACACGATGGGCTTTTAGGCTGAAATTGTACAAGAACAAAGATGGTTATTAGCTCGTGCTTGACCTAACAGAGAGAGAAGCACACGAGAACTATGAAAGGTAAGAGTTATTTCGTTTTTTCTGCGTTTTTCTTTCGTTTTTCTGTATTTTTGACCAGTTTAAAAAACTTCGAATGTTCGTTTCATCGGCTTCGTCCGCCATGACACGTGCTAACTTTGAAACCTGAAAAATCCACCTTTTCTGAAAAGAAATGATAAAATTGATAACAAATAACAATGTTTCATGAAGTTTTCAAACAGTATGTAAACTTACCTTAAGAATATTTTCATATTTTAACATTTTTTGAAACTTTGGGTTTGAATGTTACACGGAACTTGGTTCGTGTAAGTTTCAAGACATTCCTACCTCATTAGAACCACCAAAATCCGAAATATTAATGTCTCAATGACTTATGTTTTTGTATTGCAGCTATAGAAATACTGATTACACGAAAAATACTCCATAAAACTTTCCAGTGAGCTTGAACAAGATGGCGGCTGTTCATACCTGACATCTGAGGCTGATAGCCAATATATATACACACCAACCAGCAAGCTTATCATGGAATAGTCCARTATCTATCTTGTAATAATGGATTAACTGCATTAAAACAAAAGAAAAAGACTTTGATAGCAATATGGACTCACCTTGTTAATTTATGAGTATTGACCTAATTAATGATGTGGTAACCTGGTGATGACCCTGTGACCTTCATAAGAATGTGGACTCACCTTGTTGCTATATGGATATTGAAGTAAATAGCTCAGTCATACCTCATTCTGGCAAACCTTACTGGTCAAAACGACTTGTGAGGCAATTATATTTGACTGGACAAGTCCCGTTCTGGCCGGACATTGTCTGACGTCTGGCCGTTATTTTCAAGCCCTGCAGCATAATATAGCATTGTACAGTAAACTTTATGTTTAGTGCCATAGAGCATTTTCACTCATGTGACAAGGCAGCCATAAACAATAGAAACTTTCTACGCAGTATTTGCATAAAAATAGAGTTAAATTCCCGGAGGATAGAAAATGTATTGTTTTGGTACCCCATAATGGTCGCTGTGATGTCATGTGAAAACGCTCTATAAAAATATGTGTATCAAGTTGTAGTTTAGTAGGGTACATCAGTGTACAGTACTTTATCTTAAAAATTTGTAAAGCCAATCTATATAATTCATACCTGTTCCTAAATTGTTATCTCATCCTATTTTCAGCTTGTCAGCCATTACAGATAAGTCCAAGTGTTATGATGCTGTCAACTTCTTGCAGGCCATTCTAGTGCAACAAACAAGTAAGTTGAGCTATGTGTTGTCCATGTAATTATATTAAATGGTGAACGAAAGATGTTAGAATATGTGTGCTAGTTGTATGCAGTGGTTAAAAGTGCCATATTATGCAATATCCAATTCATACCTTCCAAAAACATTGCAAAAAAATGTATAATTTATGTTTCAAAAAAAGTCTTCTTTTTCCCCTCAGCTTACCAGCCATTACAGTCAAGTATCTTGTGATGCTGTGTAGCTTTGGCCAGTATACATGACAGACAAGTAAGTTGAGCTATTAGATATGTAAGTGTACAGACTGAAAGCAATCCCTCCATTTCCCCTTGTCACTGTTTGCTGTGGTTAACTTGGCTGAACAAGGATTGGTAGCCTTTAATATCCCCAGGGGGAGGGGGCTAGGTAGTTTATGCAAAACGAAACTAGAGGGTCTATTCCAATTCATTTATCCCCTTAAAATATGAAGAATGACAAAGTAAAAACAGAGACTATTGACAGTCTAGTTAGAGTACAACCCTACTATGTAACCTGAACTATACCTTGTGTATTGCTGTTGTATTTCTGAGGAATCAGAATCTTTGACACTTTAAACACATAACTTATCACTATTTTTATGCTTTGACAAGTTGCAAACATGAGATCGGTTTTTGATCATATTCTTCTGTTTTCTCTGCAGTTACACCAAATCTGTTATATTCAGTTATACCAAGCTGTTGTGCTGCAAAGACTTGTCAGATGATGCAGCACCATCAAGATCCAGTCAATCAGTACTGAAGACAGTAATCACCCACCAAGGATAAGAATATCATGCTATCAGATTGAGTAACATAATATATAGGTTGAAATATTACAAATATTTTTTTTAGGAAATTAGAATTTTCTAGGGATGTCAAAAAGCTTAAGCTAATTATTCAAAGAAATTTTGAAATATCTTGAATTCAAA